AGAGAACTACTGACGCTGCCTCCCACGTGGGGCGTCGACTATCGGTACAGTTGCTTCATCCTCCGCCAGGAATGAACCTTTGTTGAAGACGTCTGTACAACGTGTGATCAGAAGCATGGATGCTCGTTCATGTTTCTGTTATATCTTTATCATTACTCAGTCCCTTTTTACCTGAAGACAGAGGAGGAGGAGAGTGAGGAGAAGAGAGGAGGGAGATGAGGGAAAGCGGAAGAGAAGAGGGAGAAGAGGAAGGATAAAACAGTGAGAGACGCAACTAAAAAGGCAGCAGTGAGGTTTACCCGCCACAAAATAGACGCTTTTTACCTTTAAGGCGGCACTAGTCGCCCTCGCGTTGGCAAATAATGACTCTCTGTGATTTAGTCTAATGAAAGAAGGCGTCGCCGACAAGGCCATTTTGGGTCAAAACCTTTAACCGAACTAAACGCGTCGTTTGTCTTTCCAGAGGAATCAACGGGACAAATTCAGCCGATGAAAGCCGTTGGCTACGAAACAGACGGAGGAAAACCGATTCCAACGACGAGTCTTTTCTGGATTCAAAATATTGACAGTTTCAATGCATTTATTTTGACTGAATCATTGTTATGCTATAATGATTATTACATAATCTGTAGTGCAATTAACCTCACATATATATCTTTAGGGGCAGATGACATCGTTAAATGCATTTGTAATATTTACAGCTTTAACCTAAACGATATTCCATAATGTCGATCTGGAAAAAATAACTTAACTCTATAATAGAATATCTCACGGTCATTTACGAAAGTTATCAATAATTAGCAACTGTATTAGTCAATATAACTTTTAAAATGTCAAAACTCCAAAGGCTTAGCGATTGATCTTTCATATAATGTAAATATAGCTTCACTATGAAACTCCTACGGACAACCACTTTTAAAATAACAAGTGCAACTATTGACACCAAGACGTGACAGTAACAGTGGTTGGGCTCAAATGTTGGGGGAACACATGGCAAGTGGGAACACATCAGTACTTGAATATTATATATATTATATATATATATATATATATATATATATATATATATATATATATATATATATATGTATCTGAGACCAACCTAATCACAAATCAGCAATTGAGATCACGCCAGCTCTTTCCAGGTAAAATCTGAACAGCCGTTATATCATAAGGCAACAACTGAAACTTAGACAAATGTTCACCTAATGAAAGCATAATTCAGGATAAGATATAAATCATTAATGACAATTATGGCCATGATAATAACAACGAAAGATATTACAATGCAATTGTAGCACTAAAACGGAGACATATTTAGACAATAGAAGCAACAATACATTAACGACGATTTACCTTCTAGAAATAGAAGAAATCAAAGAATACCTCCATATGAGTATTCAATAAAATCAAGCCACAGCAACACGTCTTTCTCGACGCCTGAAATATCTACACCGAATTTCAAAGTATAAAAAATAAGGACACAACTCGTTAAAAATTAATCAGCTAATGCTTAATCACTTATTTCCTGGTGGGTTACAAAATCATCCTGATATGTGACAAAATATCACTTGATGTTTCGAGTTGCCGCTGTTGCAACTCGGACCCCCCGCCGGGCAAGGACTGTTTCGCGGAGTCGATCCTCAGCTCGAGGCAACGGGTTCAGCGAGTGGCGAGCGGGGTTCGTCCGTCTGCCGGGGCTCCGTTCCAGCGCCTCGAAGCGGCTGACTCGCTGGCGCAAAACCCGACTTCCTGTTCGTCACCAGCTTTGCCAGTCCCGGCCGCATCGCTTCCTTGTCTTCCCTCGCGGCACTGCAATGGCACTGCACGTTGGCGTGTGATTATCCCTCCTGCCATGACGAAGTTCCCCGCAACAGTGAGCGCCGGCACTCTGTCCTAACTACGTAAAGTGCATATTAACGGTCAACTTTGTAGGCGGCCACGGAGCGGGCGGGGGTCGAGCGCGCTTCGCCCCGCTCCTCTGCGTCTTGTTGAACAACACGCAACCAATTTTGTCTCCGAAGTGCGAAATGAGAATACTACGTGGCGTTCCAATTTACTCAAGATTTTAGTAATACTCACTTGTATAGAAATAACAGCACGTTCTCGGTCGAAACAGCACGGCATTGTTTTGGAGAGCAAGACACCAGAACGCGCGACGCGCCATTTTTATCTGGGTTGACGCGCCGCAGATTCAAATTTCCTTTCTACAGAAAAATGGGTTTGATTGAATTCATCATTCTAGAGAAATATCCCTAGACTGTCATTTATATATATATGAAAAAAAAGCTCAGGTGAAGTGCTTGCCGACCTTCCGAGGTGTCTGAACGCTGTCCCGCATTTCTCCGCCAATTATGCGCAACAGAGAGACTAGGAAAATACTATGTTTAGGTCCCTGATCGTATGGTCTAATAAGGAAGGAACTGAAAGTCTTCTAAACGCCATGGAACCATAAATCTGTCAAACAAGACAACTACTGACCTTAACTCTTGACTGTGTTTCTCCTACGGGATTATGGCGCTGCGCGCACCGCACGGCGCAGGACGACTTTCCTTCGCACGAACACAGCTCTCCTACCGTCAGGTTAGTTGGTCTAATATGAGGGGTACATGATGCAAGGAGTCACCAAGCTTAGATAAGCGGCTAACTGTATGATATGTACTCAAAATTATAAACTTACGCAAACTACTATCACCAACAAGGGACATAAATAGTTAAACTGTCAAGGAAAATAATAACCGTTCTCTACAACACGCACAATAATGAAAATACTCTTTATGTGATCTTAATATTATGTAGGTCATAAATGTATCCTAAAATCACCATATTTTTTTTTATATCTTCCGCAGAAATAATTTATCATACACAAGGTTTATTTATTATGCGTCGAACAGCGTCGACGGCGCAGTAGTGTTTTTTTTTTTTTTTTTTTTTTTTTTTACACCGATTTCAACCTATGGCAACAGTCTAGTTCTCCTCCACTTCACTCTGGCGTATGTCGTGCACGTCTGTCTGTGCGGACATACCTGCATGAAGGGGATTTGTAGGGGGGGGGGTAGGACGAGGTTCAAAGGGCAAGGAGCGGGAGGCTGCACCCAGAACGCTGCCGGTGTTGTGGAGGAAGCGGGGTTCAGGGATCTAGGGGCTGACGCATCTATCTGTGCACACGCAGGGGCACACATTCACTTAAACATGCATGCTTGCATACAAATTTTCAGTATACAAGCAAGAACACACACACATACGCCACACACACACACACACACACACACACACACACACACACAATACATATACATATATATATATATATATATATAATATATATATATATATATATATATATATATATATATATATATATATATATATATATATATATATATATGTATACACGCATACACATGCACACACACACACACACAAATTTATAAATTTGTGCATATATGCAAGTGAATCCACATCTTCCCGTGCACGCTTTCCTTGCTTTCCTTCGTGGGCGCCGGGGAGTGCGAGGGGCCGTGGGCGGGCGGGGCATGGGCGGCGGGTGAGAGTGAGTGAATGAGATGAGACGAGGGGGGCTCAGATATCGTTATGCCTGAGAGTTTTTAAATAACGTGGGAAACACTGACATGGGGTTCGGGTCTAAACCGTACGGGATCAAAGTGCTTCGTCAGAGTACGACGCTTAAGACTACGATGGAGTTAATGGTATTAAATAGATAAGAGGTCGACACAGATGGATGTAATATATCATAGTTATACATATAACATTGTGCAGATGCGTCTGATGCCGAGGATCAAACATTCTAGAGAAGCTACTTTATATGTTGAGAGGGACAGGCAGGAGGAAGAGGAAGAGGAGGAAGAAGGGGAGATCGAGGAAGAGGAAGAGGAAGAGTTGGAGGTGGAAGAGAAAGGGTGGGGGAGGAGAAGAGGGAATTAGAAGGATTAGGTTTAGGATTAGGATTAGGAGGAGGGGAGAGGAGGAGGAGGAGGGGGAAGAAGGGTTCAGAGGAGCAGACGGAGTGGGTGGGAGGTTAAAAGCAGAATAAAGTCGGTAGGTACAGAAAACACGAAACTCAGACCAAAACACTTGTGACATAATGGTGATAAGTGAGGTACCGAATAGCAAACGGCGTGTGAAGAGAAGATAGAAGAGAAGAGGGATGATAAAAAAGAAAAAAATGAGAGGAAGAGAAGGAAGGACGACGGGAATGAAGAGAGGGGGGGGGCGAGGGCTGGAGGAGGGGGGAGGGAGCTGGGTCTTTCCAGGATGTGAAAGAGAGGGAACACCCCGGGAGGGGGTGGGGTTGGTTGGTTGGGGGGGGGGGAGCGTTTCTGTTTGCCTTAAGCTTATGCAACGAAATATTCAGATTTTATGAATACATTACACATGCAGAAACTGGTTCCTAACTACAGGCTCATCATCGATCTAATGTTTTGTCAACATCTAGCACTAAGCCAGCGCGGGGCAGCGGAAGCCTCGCCTCTTATGCTCTGAACCAGTAACAAGTGGACAGCTATATATAGTATCTTAAAAATCTATATATATTTTTTCACAGAAGTCTCCTAAAATCACCATCTTTGTACAGTCAACGAATACGCTAATTCACACACGGATATAGACGCGTTATAAAAACACCCCTAAGGCAATGAGAACAGTGTCGGGGATGACCGTGTGATGAGGCGGGGGGGGGGGGTGCCCTGACATCGCTGGGTCCCGGATGTCGCGGGGAGGGGGGGGGGGGTATCGCTGGGTCCAGGATGGGGGGAGGGGGGGGGTGCCCTGACATCGGCTGGGTCCCGGATGCCACGGGGAGGGGGAGGGGGAGTGCCCTGACATCGGCTGGGTCCCGGATGCCACGGGGAGGGGGGGGGTGCCTGACATCGGCTGGGTCCCGGATGTCGGGGGAGGGGGAGGGGGGGGGTGCCTGACATCGGCTGGGTCCCCGGATGCCACGGGGAGGGGGAGGGGGGGTGCCTGACATCGGCTGGGTCCCGGATGCCACGGGGAGGGGGAGGGGGCCCCGGGAGTGCCTCGGCGCCGGCGAGGGCCGCTCGGAGGACTCCTGGCGGGGCTGCTCGCGGGAGGGCGTCGACGCAGACGGGGTCCTTGGCTTCCTAGCGAGGAGACGCGGGCGCGGGAGTGGCTGGGCGCGTGGAGGGCGAGAGGAGGGCGAGAGGTGGAGTCACGAGGTGGGAGGCGCTACACCGAGTGGAGTGATGGAGTGTGGCGGTGGAGTGGCGCGAGAACTAGACTCTGGCGCATTACAAGTAAGCCGGCTTGCAGGTGCAGCATAACGCGCTCATGTTGCGGTACAGGGAGCGTCGCGTCCGCTTCTTGCTCCACAGGCTGAACATGTCCTCGCCCGTGAGGGCCAGGTTCCTGTTGGCGGCGTCCTCCTGCAACAGAAAGCGGCTCAGGCAAGGAAGGCATTTCAGGCACAGGGATGAGTCAACAGGAAACTTCCGGAAAAGACAATCAAAGATGGTGAACAAGGAATCAAGGCAGTTCTTAGAGTCTATCATGGGTGGCGACTAACGCCTAATGAACCTTGGAATATTGTACATTAATGATTCATGTAAAGAATGACTATTCGATCGCTTCGTAGGACGCGGAAGAACAGCATGAAAGGAACACGTGTTACTCGCTCCTTCCGACCCTAACCAGAGGCCCAGGGAAGGACAAGCGACTCGAGGGCCCCGCCGCCGCCCTCCCCCGCTCCCTCCCGATCCCTCCCTCGGGCGTCCCCCCCCCCCCTGTGTGCATCGATTACTCAGCCTCAGGTTTCTTTCGCCTTATCACTCGCACATTTTCGGAGCTCGTCAGCAGCGCGCTAAACCCTTCCTGCCCCTACGTGCGCCTGTGATGTTATCCCGCGCCTCAGCCCTCCATTCACTTCCCTTTGGTGGGGGCGCGTGTGTGAGGAGATCTCGAGACTCAAAGCCGAGGCAGCTCAGCCTCTTTAGACTCCGGAGCAGAAAGCAGAGCCGGGCGGGGACCCCTCCCCCCACCCCGGGCTCCCGTCCTAAGCCTTCATCACCTGCTAAGTCTGAGTAATCACCCTCGAGGGGGCTGACGCCGGCCCCGGGGGTGACTCCAGGTCGCTGTTATTATGCTCGAATAATGTGCTCTGCCCCCCCCTCTCTCTCTCCCCCTCCCTCTCCTATCCTCCCTCAGTCCCCTCTCTCTCTCTTCTCTCTCTCTCTCTCTCTCTCTCTCTCTCTCTCTCTCTTCTCTCTCTCTCTCTCTCTCTCTCTCTCTCTCTCTCTCTCTCTCTGTCTCTCTCTCTCTCTTCTCTCTCTCTCTCTCTCTCTCTCTCTCTCTCTCTCTCTCTCTCTCTCTCTCTCTCTCTCTCTCTCTCTCTATCTATATATATATATATATATATATATATATATATATATATATATATATATATATACATATATCCATATATATATATATGTGTATGTCTGCAAATAGATTAGGTCAAATACCTCCCGGGGGGGGGGGGCGGTGTGAGTTGCACAATAGCAAAAACCGCCGTGTATTCAGGGATGTCAAGCGACGTCAAAGGAGGTCCAGGATTCCGGGCGACGTCTCCTCAGGTCGAGGGACATCACAAAAGATCTGGCTGCACCAAGGAAGTCGCAGGCGTCAAGGGACATTAAGCGGCGACAAAAATGTGATTTGACGGTCAGGAAGGGCGTCCCACATGGGAGCAAGGTCTATATAAGTACTTAAATAGACCTTGCATGGGAGGTCGAGTGAAGGCAAAGGAAGTCAGGCGACAGAGGTGGTCGTGCGTTGTCCTCTTCAAGGAGAGCAAAAAAGTCCTACAGTGTCAAAGGAGGAGCTACGGCGTCAAGAGAGGTCGAGTGACAGCAGCGTCGAGCGGCGCTCCGGGAGGCGGACTGACTTCTAGGGAAACCAAGCGACATCAAGGAGGATCTGGCGACGCCACGGCAGGTTGAGCAGCGTCTGAGGAGGTCAAGCAAGGTCAAGGGAGCTTCCTGAAGGTCAAAATAGGAACGAACTATCCGGAGGAGGCCAAAGGAGGTCGAGTGATGTCAAGGGGGTCAAATGGAATGAAACTACGCCATGGAAGATTAAGGGAAGTAGAAGAACATGGAGCGAGGTCAGGGACGTCCAGGAAGGCCGAACAACGTCAATGAGGAACGAATGACGTCAAAAAGACAGAGTGATGTCAAGGGATGTTAGGCGACGTCAGAGGATATCGACTGATGTCAAGGAATCTTAACAGAGGCCGTGTTACGTCAAGAGAAGTCAGGGAAGGCTGAGCGACATCGTGGGAGCAACGTCACGGGATGTCAGATGAGGCTGTCGGAAAAGGCTGAACGAAGGCAAGAGATTTCGAGTGGAAGAAGTCGGTTAAAGAAGGTCAAGAAAGGTCGCGTTATGACAAGGCGATCGAAAGACATCGAAAGAAGTCAATCGACATTTAGGACGCTGAGTAATGTCAAAGTAAGTCGATTCACATCACATGGGAAAGCAGAATGACGTCAAGGAAAGTCAGCTGGTGTCAGATGTCATCAGTGGAAGCGCTCGACGGGGCACCGTCACTGCACATGACGTTGCGATATTTTTGTGCCTCCGCCGTTCGCGTCTCTTCAGCAAAAGCGATCTCCCGGCCCGCCCGCCCTCCCTCCAGGCGGAAATACGCATTTTTAAGCGAGGCAAATGAAGACTTGAAAACCAATCTTGCAGTTCATGGGATTCTCAAACACTGATTCGTTACCATGGTTATGCCTACCCTCCCCCTTGCGCCTTCTCCCCCCCCCATCATCCATATCTTTGTCTCTCTGAGTTACGATTCCCTTGCCTCCTCCCTCCCTTCCTCTTCCTTCCCTGTCCCCGTCTTCCTTTCTCCCTCTCCTGTCACTCCTCTCCTGTCTCTCCCTCTCATCATCTCCTCTCCTGCCCCCCCCCTCCTCCCATCACATCCCTTCCTTCCCTCCCCTTCCCCCTCCCTCTCCCCTCTCCCCTGCTTACCACTTGGGAGACATGACCAAATTGAGCCGATTTCATTAAGAACTTTTCCTGTGATGGCAACTTTTGTGGCGATGTTTTACAGCGGAGAAAATTGGGATCTAGGATCTCCCTTTTTCTCTTTCTCTTTTTTTCTTTCCTTTTTTTTCTCCTTCAGAACAGAGGAAACTGAGTAACGGATGGAAGAGCGTTGTGACGAAGGGAAAAGTGGGGAGGAGGGCGGGGAGGAGGGGGGAAGGGAAATGAAAAGAGAAGTCAAGAGAGGACAGCACGAGCGGGAAGGACCAGGAATTGGAGACGAAAGGTAAAGGAACAGACATGACAGGGAAGAGGAAAGGCAGACAGACCAACAGACAAACAACAAAAACGGACACTGAAAGGCAATGCAATAAGAACCGAACTGAAGAGAAGAGAGGAAAGGGGAGAGGGAAGAGGGAGGAGAGAAAGGAGGAGGAAGGGGAAGAGGAAGGGAGAAAAGAACTGGACTGGGAAGAGGAGAGTGAAAGGGAACGAAGGAGGAGAGAGAGGAGGGGAAAGGGATGGGGAGAGAAGGTGAAAGAGCGAGGGAAGAGAGGAAGGGAAGGTGGAGTGAAAAAAGGAAGGAAAGAGAGGATAGGGAAGAGGGAGGAGAGAGGGGAAAGGGGGAGAGGGTCGAGGAAGGGGGAGGGGAGTGTTGAATAGGAAGACGCCAAAGTTTGCTCGCCTGATAGCCTCTATTGAAACCTTGGCTTTAAGATCGTGTATAAAACCAGTGTATATAGATGACGCTATAAATATACAAATGCGAACAGGCTTGTGGCGGTCGATTTTGAAACTGAGATCACAAGAACTGACGAGAAGGATCAAAATGAAAAAGTAAGGAAATATTTACTCTATATGGGTATATGACCATAGATTTAAGTAAACAATCACACACGCACACACACACACACGCACACACAAACACACACACACAGCTTCTACACAGAATCTCCATTTATCTTGATTAAGCATCTCATTCTTTTTAATGCAGATACTGAGATCCCTCCCGTGATTTTTACTTGTATCATCGATTCTACTTCTGTTTATCATTCGCTTGCATATTTCTGCGCTCTTGTCCTCTCAAGCGTGCGTCTCTTTATTTTTTTTTTTTAGCAAATCTTAAATTCTCTTTTTTTTCTCCCTCCCTCCCCCCCCCTCTCTCTCTCCCCTCTCCTTATCTACCCTTTCCTTTTCCTCGACCTCCTTCCCGCTTTACCTTACTCTCTCACCTCTATCCCCCTCCTTCCTCTTCCCCTCACTCTCTATCCCTCTCTCCACCTTTCCTTCTCCCCCCCAAGAGCCCCTGCCTACCCCCTCCTCACCTGCGGCATGTAATCCTGCATCTCCTTCAGGATGGCGTTGATGTCGTCGCTGTCCTTCTCTATGCTGCAGACCTCCTCCTGCTGGAAGTCCGGCTGCAGGGTCTTGCACAGCAGCAGCTGCGAGATCACGCCCAGACCGCCCATGCCTGACGGACCCGGCTTGTTCTCTGCAAAAGGGGCGGGAGCGTTAGGGTTCCTGGGTTACAGCAGGGCGTGCTTGGGTCACTGAAATGGTCTTAATGCACTGCTGGTCAGCAGCGGTGACTGTTCCCTCAACGGCCGCGCTGGGATACGGCAGCGGTTGCCTCCTGAACGGCCCGGCGACGCGTTGCGGGCGCCGTGTGGGTTCGCCGGCCGAGGGGACCATTAACCGAAGGCAAACCCCAGCAGACGCGCCTCGTCGCTTCGGCGTGGGCGGCGAGAGCGCGAAGGTCATGAGGTTCAACGCCAGACGAAGGCGCTGCGTAAATTTGAACATCGTTAAGGGAAAGCAAGAGGAAACTGAAGTGCCAGGGCGCGGTTTCCCGGTGGGATGCTCTTGGTTGACGCGCTCGACGGATTTTGAAAACCAGTGGAATTATGAGAATTATTTTATGTATATGCATAAATGTATATATACACACACACACACACACACATATATATATATATATAATATATATATATATTATATATATATATATACATTATATATATATCTATATATCTATATATATATATATATATATATATATAATTATATATATATTATATATATATATATATATATATTATTATATGTATGTATATATATATGTATATATTAATTTATTTATTTATTCATGTACGTATGAGTGGAAAAAACTCACACTGCAATAAATGAGATTCATTTTAGTAAATCTAGCTTGTGCTTGTGTGTGTATTATATATATATATATATATATATATATATATATATATATATATATATATATATATATATATATATATATAAATATATATATATATATATATATATATATATATATATATATATATATATATTATATATATATATATATATATATATATATATATGTACACACACACACACACACACATAATATGTATGTATGAATATGTATATACATATGCATAACATGTATACATAAATATTTGATAGATAGATAGAAGGGGAGAGGAAGAGAGAGAGGGAGGAAGAAGAGAGAGAGGAGAGAGAGAGAGAGAGAGAGGGAGAGGGAGAGAGGAGAGGGAGAGAGAGAGGGGTGAGGAGAGAGAGAGAGAGAGAGAGAGAGAGGGAGAGGGAGATAGAGAGGGGGGAGAAGAAGAGAGGAGAGGAAGAGAGAGAGAGAGGGAGAGAGAGAGAGAGAGAGGGAGAAGAGAGAGAGGAGAGAGAGAGGAGGAAGGGAGAGAGAGAGAGGGGGAGGGAGAGAGAGAGGGAGAAGAGAGAGAGAGAGAGGAGAAGAGAGTCAACAGATGAATTACACAACCCCCTCTGGCCGCCCCGACATCAACATAGCCATGATCCCGATCTCCTCCTGATCACAGTCCGCATCTTTCGTGAGGCGCAGGAAGCCCTCAGGGGCTCGCGGGCCATCGCACCATCGCCATCGCCCCAGGGGCCTCCCGCAGCAGGGACAGCAATCGCCTCAGGATCACGGCGCCCCCCGGCCAGGAGTCGCGAGGGTCGCTAATGCAATAGGAGGAGAACAGGATCAGGATGCGCCTCGGCTGCAGCGGCGCCCCCAGGGAGGCTGTCCACTAGACAATCCCATCAGCGGGAGATCCTCCCGGGGCCCCGAGGTGATCTCCGTCGCCTGCCATTAGCGCCGCGGCTCCGAGGTCGAGGCGGACGCCGCTCGCTGACGCGGGAGAGAGCCCAGGGGTCCCAGGGGTCCCAGGGGTCCCAAGGGGTCCGCATCAGATGACAGGTGTGCCAGCGTCACCCACCTTTATATCAGTACTCTATTACCCTCGCATGTGCTTGTGTACATGTGCACATGGTTATGTGTGCACGAGAAGTGAAGTCGTTTTGGTCTGTTCTTTTCTTAGTGGCCAAATCACGCCATCCTTTTGCACTCCTTGCGTTTGCTTTCGCGATCACCTGTGTGTGTCCGTGTCTGTGTGTAGGTATTTGGATTATCATAAAGCGATGATCGCAAAGATGAGCGAGAAAGAGAGATAAAGAGAGAAGGAGGGGAGGGAGGGAGAGAGAGAGAGAGAGAGAGAGAGAGAGAGAGAGAGAGAGAGAGAGAGAGAGAGAGAGAGAGAGAGAGAGAGAGAGAGAGAGAGAGAGAGGAGAGAGGGAGGAGAGAGAGAAGAGAGAGAGGAAGATAGAGAGAGAGAGAGAGAAATAGAGAGAAAGAGAGAGAGAGAGAAAGAGAGAAGAGGAGAGAGATAGATAGATAGATAGATAGATAGATAGATAGAGAGAGAGAGAGAAGAGAGAGAGAGCGAGAGAGAGAGAGAGAGAGAGAGAGAGAGAGAGAGAGAGAGAGAGAGAGAGAGAGAGAGAGAGAGAGAGAGAGAGAGAGAGAGAGAGAGAGAGAAAGAGAGCGAGCGAGAGAGAAACGAAAGAGAAAGAAAGAATAAAAAACGAGGTAAAAAAAAAAAAAAAACGAGAGAAAAATCTAGAGAGAAAGAAAGAACACAAAAGAGAGAAAACGAAAAATGGGGAGAGGAAAGGTCGAGCTAAGAAGATTATTTACATTCCCGGCGTCGGCTCCCCGCTCCTACTGCTCGGAGAAATGTCGGCGTAATATTGCCTCCGAGGCTGAGCCTCCCGGCGTCTGAGGGGGGGGGGGGGAGTGGCTGGGAAGGGGAAGGGAGGGAGGGAAAGGCGAAGGGCAAGGGAGGGACTGCGGGGAAAGGAGGAAGGCGGAGGGAGGCCGTGGGAACACTGTTGGGGAAGGAGGGAGGGGGGAGGGAGCGTAGGGTTCTTTAGGAGGACCTGATGGAGTAGAAGGGAGGGGGAAGGGAGGGTGGGGCAGGGCGGAGGGGGAGCGGAAAGAGAGCGGAATGAAGGGTTGAGACACGGAAAAAATCTAGGCGTAGGAGAAAGGTAAGCTGAGGAGAGTCTGAAGGTGGGAAGGAAAGGGAGGAGAGGAGAGAGAGAGAGAGAGAGAGAGAGAGAGAGAGAGGAGAGAGAGAGAGAGAGAGAGAGAGAGAGAGAGAGAGAGAGAGAGAGAGAGAGAGAGAGAGAGAGAGAGAGAGAGAGAGAGAGAGAGAGAGAGAGGAGAAGAGAGAGAGAGAGAGAGAGAGGCAGGGAGGGAGGGAGGGAGGGAGGGAGAGAGAGAGATAGAGATAGATAGATAGATAGATAGATAGATAGGATAGATCGATAGATAGAGAGAGAGAGAGAGAGAGAGAGAGAGAGAGAGAGAGAGAGGGGGAGAGAGAGAGAGAGAGAGAGAGGGAGAGAGAGAGAGAGAGAGAGAGAGAGAGAGAGAGAGAGAGAGAGAGAGAGAGAGAGAGAGAGAGAGAGAGAGAGAGAGAGAGAGAGAGAGAGAGAGAGAGACAGACAGACAGAGAGAGAGAGGCAGAGAGTGACAAAGAGAGAGAGAGAGAGAGACAGACAGACAGACAGAGAGAGACAGAGAGTGACAGAGAGAGAGAGTGAGAGAGGAAGATAAAGAGAGAGGGAAGATAAGGAGGGAAGCGTAGAGAGGAGACGGGAAGTGGCAAGGCCGAGGAGAGGAGCGCCGCCGGCCTTTGAAGTGCGCGCGAGAGGCTCTCTAAGATTCCTCAAAAGGGCAGGTGGGGGTGGGGGGGTGGGGGGGTGTATGTGTGTTGGGGGGGGGGAGTGGAGGAGCAGAAGTAATAGGTGTACTGGGATTTGCTTCCTTCGCGGGCGCCTTGAGTCGAGCCCCGACTGCGATGCGAGTGTAAACGAAATTTGGGAATGAGTTACGGCCGCAAAAAAAAAAAAAAAAACAGCAGCAGTAACAACAACAACGTCTTCAAAACAAATGTAAAAATAGGCCCAAATGTGAATAAATAAACGGACAAATGATTGTTGATAAAAAAAAAATCATAAAAGCAAAAGAATAAGACTAAGACAGGAATATGAAGCAGCAAACGACCTGTTAAAGCCATTTATAGAACAGCGAAAAGATTTTGATGAAAACGACAATACTGATAATGATAATGGTAATTGCAAAAATAATGATAATAATGATAATCATAATAATGATGATAATAATGACTGTAATAATAAATAAAAATGATAATAAAACCGTGGCTATATTAGGAATTGAAATGATAAAGACGATAAATAACGATAAACAATAATGGCATTCATCGAGACAGACATGAAACTCACAAAGCAGAGAGAAGGCCCTGGCGCCGGAGCGAACCGAGAGGGCGAGAGGGCCGGGGCAGCGAACCGAGAGGGCGAGAGGGCCGGGGCAGCGAACCCGAGAGGGCGAGAGGGCGAGAGAACCCGAGAGGGCGAGAGGGCCGGGGCAGCGAACCCGAGAGGGCGAGAGGGCCGGGGCAGCGAACCCGAGAGGCGAGAGGGCCGGGGCAGCGAACCGAGAGGGCGAGGGCCGGGGCAGACCCGAGAGGGCGAGAGGGCCGGGGCAGCGAACCCGAGAGGGCGAGAGGGCCGGGGCAGCGAACCCGAGAGGGCGAGAGGGCGAGGTAGCCAACCCGAGAGGGCGAGAGGGCCGAGGTAGCCAACCCGAGGAGCGGCCGAGAGGACGAGAGGGCCGGGGCAACCCGAGAGGCGAGAGGGCCGGGGCAGCGAACCCGAGAGGGCGAGAGGGCCGGGGCAGCGAACCCCCGAGAGAGGCGAGAGGGCCGAGGTAGCCAACCCGAGACCCGAGGTAGCGCACCCGAGAGGCAGCGAACCCGAGAGGGCGAGAGGGCCGGGGCAGCGAACCCGAGGGCGAGAGGGCCGAGGTAGCCGGAGCGAGAGGGCCGGGGCAGCGAACCCGAGAGGGCGAGAGGGCCGAGGCAGCGAACCCGAGAGGGCGAGAGGGCAGCGAACCCGAGAGGGCGAAGAGGGCCGGGGCAGCGAACCCGAGAGGCGAGAGGGCCGAGCGAACCCGAGAGGGCGAGAGGGCCGAGGCAGCGAACCAGCGAGAGGGCCGAGGCAGCGAACCCGAGAGGGCGAAGAGGGCCGGGCAGCGAGAGCGAGAGGGCCGAACGAGAGGGCGAGAGGGCCGGGGCAGCGAACCCGAAGAGG